TTTGTGTATGATATCCAAGTAATTTGAAACATATTTGTATCTTACTTTGGATGTTCTAGGATGAACCAAGAAAAATATGCATTTGCTAGAATTTCCGAGCCCTGGATATTAGTTATCTATGAGCCGGCCATACACGAAAGGTTTTTCCGTCAGTTTTGATCTTTGACCGACCAAATTAATCCGTATTGGCATTTACGTATATGAGATAAAAATATCACAAACAAGAAATCGACCTTTATCGCTAAAGATTATGGATGACAAATATTATAGTTGACACTGATTACAGTTTCAGTTGTATACAGTAAATAGGTACACGTTTCTAGTGGCAACCTTCTTTTTTATTTTTATACAGTTTATGAGAATAAGTCAGGTATAACGTCAAATAGTATTAAAATATAAAAAATATATTACACCATGAACTCACTAAGCAAACAAATATATACAGTGTGTTTCTTTTTAAAGGTAACACTAAATAATTCTGTCCAGTGACATCGGATTAATATGCGGTTTTCAGGAGGAGATAGGGAATACATAAATACACATTTCTTAATGATTTTTACATTTTTAGATCTTTCCGTGTGCGCATGCGCAATACAACTTGCATTTTTTTAAATGACAACAGGTGTTTTGAATACCAAATTCGGATAGACCAAATTTTTTTAAGTCGATTTAGTCCTTTTTACCATAGTTCTAAAATCAAATTTGACTAAATGGCAATCAGTCAAAGTTTCGATTGAAATTATTGAATTTTTCACCAATCATACTAGAATTTTATGAATTATTATGAAATATTATTTATTATTTTCGTATCCGTAGGTTTGTAGATATTATTAAATCATTTAAATTTAATTCTGAGGAATTAATTAACCTCAATTAGACGTAAATGTTAGTTCATGTAAACTCCAAGTATCTTCTCCCGGTAAGTGTACCATCGTAAAAATACGGGCCGAGAAATCTCCCATCTAGTAACCCACACCAAACGTTAGTTCCCCAAACTGTTTGGTGATTTGTATCAGTCGTCCAATATGGATTGTGATCAGCCCAATACCGGTTATTTTGTTTATTAATTATACCGTTGTTGGTAAACTTTAATTCGTCGATCCAACAGAAAAATCGTAGAAAATCGGGTTCGTCGTGTAATTGTATCATAAACCATGCAATAAATGTAAGTCTACGATTAGAATCACCTGGTACCAATTTTTGTACTAAATCAGTCCTATACGGGTGCAATTTTATTTTTTTTCAAAATTTTATGAACTTTTTTACAAGAAATTCCAATATCGTTGCTTAAATGCCTAATCGAAGATCAAGGATACAATTGAAGATATGCTAATACCTACAATTCGTCCTGTTCGTTTACCTGTCCAATCAACTGTCTTTGATTACGCCGATTATCACCTCGTCTTGCAAGTAGCTCACCACTATTTCTCAAAGATGATTCAATTCGGACAAAGTAATTGTAAGGAGGGTGATATCGTTCGGGATATCGTTCTGCATTAAGTCTAGCGGCATTTCGTGAATTACGTCAACATTCATCATAAACTAAAAGCATATCAACTTTTTCATTGTTACTTGCCATTTTTAAATTTCAATGAAATACTTGCGTTACATACGAGTTTAAAACTTGTAATGACTTTCAATAATCACATTTAAGCAAATGCTAAAACTCATCAGTTATAATAAGTTATTATTGTCAGATTTATACGGACATTAAGATAATATTCTTCGCACACGATAAATAAATTTGGTTTGTTTTAGTAAAGGCTACAAATAAAATAATCTTAGAGATTACAAGTGATTACCAAACTTGTATCATGAAAAATAACAATAATTGATAAAATTAATAATTTAAATAGAAACTTTAATAATAGAAGTTATGAGAAATAAATCATATCATTTTGTTTAATCTTTTTTTACTTAGTAATTGAACTAACATTTACGTCTAATTGAGGTTAATTAATTCCTCAAAATTAAATTTAAATGATTTAATAATATCTGCAAGCCTACGGATACAAAAATAATAAATAAAATTTCATAATAATTCATAAAATTCTAGTATGATTGGTGAAAAATTCAATAATTTTAATCGAAACTTTGACTGATTGCCATTTAGTCAAATTTGATTTTAGAATTATGGTAAAAAGGACCAAATCGACTTAAAAAAATTCGGTCTATCCGAATTTGGTATTCAAAACACCTGTTGCCATTTAAAAAAATGCAAGTTGTATTGCGCATGCGCACACGGAAAGATCTAAAAATGTAAAAATCATTAAGAAATGTGTATTTATGTATTCCCTATCCCCTCCTGAAAACCGCATATTAATCCGATGTCACTGGACAGAATTATTTAGTGTTACCTTTAAAAGGAAACACACTGTATATAAACGTATAAATTTATAAAAATTATCGCATATAACTAACCAACATAATATGTTTTTATAAGAAATAAACAATTAATAATAATTAATATAAATAATATTAATATTTTTATATAATATTTATATTCATAAATTGATATTGATATGTTTTTATAAGAATGAACACTATATTATACTGTTCATTGTATAGGAATGTCAAAATATATTTCTAATATGTCAAAAAAATCGAGTGACAAATCATAATTTCAGTACAATCGACTGTTTTGAACACAAACTTACATAACTAGTTGTTACATTCTTAGGAGACGGGATAATTCGGTACATCTGCAATGACAGTGTACATGACAAAAAGTTTTGAACTAGGACAGTCCAGATCTGCCGACCATATCGGCGGAATAGGAATGGCATTCAAAATTCAACAGTTAAACTCTCCGGCTATTATATTACTCGTATTTGTTAAAAATATCAAAAATATTCTTAATCGATTTCCGAAAAATCATAAATATACATTACACCATATATTATATATACAACAAACGATCATAAATATACATTACATTAGATTGTAGAATAAATATAAATTGTTTATCCTATAGATATCTATGGTTTATCCTATAACCAATGATATATATATATATACGTATTATAAGTACGTCATTAAATGTATCAAGTCCAAGATGTGGTTCGTACAGTTTTTCTCGATTTTGATTGCTCATGGTTATATATGGGAATTTTTCTAATTGCGTCCCTGTATACATATACAACATAATATACCTTAGGGCCACGGTGTGGAGAATATGGAGAAATCTTTTCTAAACCGTGCTTTGGGCTTAAACACTTATTATTCGTTTACTTTTCAATTTTATTTTCCCAATACATTTAGTAAATATTAGGAACTCCTATAAATGGCGTAGTCGTCGTTGTCTTTAACGATGGCGACGGCCCAATTTTCGGGTCGATAAACTGGTTGTTGGTGTCGAGTTGTCGATTAAGTATTGAGGAAACAAGTTAATTTATTAATTTAATCATGATTTAATTATTTAGAGATATTCTTTTACCTATTTAAATTGATTTAAATTATTTTACTTAAAATCACAATAATGAATTACCTATTAATTTGTTATGAATTTATTATTAAATTGCATTTAACATACTGTTAGATTCAAAATATTCAATGGTAAAATAAAGTGAACTAATTTTCTATTGATTTTTGCTCAATGCTTTTTTACTCATTCGTAGTACCATTGCTCATATTTTATGGCGGTGAGTTAGTTCGTTTACTCCAAACAATTTCTGGAAATAAGTGAACTACAATAAAATAAAGTAGAATTGAATCACATACTAAAGACTGAATCGCTGAATCTTCTTTGACTTTCAGTACTACAAAAAAATCAGTGTTACTAATAAACCGATTCATTTTTCAACACGCGATCAACTCAATTTGTTAATCTAACTGAATCGAATCATTCATAAATTACCCATCCCTAAAATATATAAGTATTATTGATATCTTCGTGAAGAACTAAAATATTTTCGAACGCTTGAACCAAAAAATCTTATTTACACTTACTTTTCTTATACCGTTATTACTATTATTATTTGTAATATTTAAATATACGATGAATTTTTTTTCAAATTACATTAATTTCAAAATGTCAAATAATAGTAATAGTAAAGACATCAAACAATTTTTTGTATAAACATTTTTTTTATACGTTATTTATTTATGTAACCAAGTGTAAATAAGATTATTATTATTATACTCTGGTAACCCAATCGATACATTTAAAACCTTTATTGCATAGGCGTGCACTTGGGTGGTGCAGGGTATGCACATGTACCACCTGTGGCTTCAAAATTATTTTAGAAAATCCACGAATGATTTTTCGGGGGCCTATGTCCCCACAGCAAAATTAATAAACCTTAAAATTTCAGATTGATAAATACCTATACATTAATAGAAAACAAATAGTTAGCATTCAGTAGATTTGAAATATCTTATATTTATCTCATAATATTGTTATATCAATCCAAATATAATAAAGAATTATTCCGTTCAATACATCATATAAAAATAGAAAAGTATTCTGCATATACATTATAATCGTTAAGACACAATGTTTCTTGAAATTATTATATAACGTCGGACACCGATGATGATCGACGCCATAATTGTTTTATACAAAAGCGGATACCCAATTATTTATTATTTTGAACATTGTTTATTTCAGAGCTTCTATACCGAGGGAGTATCAAAATTTCCCGGGAGGGAGGGGATATGCGGTATGCAATAGGAGTAAATAATAAATAAACTTTGTCGAGATGGTAGGTATACGTTTTTCTTGGGGGGGGGGGTTAATACCAACCCCCACGGTTACCCCTTAAAATAAACACGGATTATAAAATATATAATACCCGCTTCCGCAGTCCTCTCAGTAAGTGACTGTTTTGAAACAAGATTCTAGTAATTGAAACTAGTTGCGCAAGTGATAAATGTTGTAGCGTGAAGCCTGAATGTATCAATAAACTAAGGTCTCCTAAAAAAAAGAAAAAAAAAATTATCAAATTTTTTTACGTTTTTGAAAAGGTAAAGGATGAACGTAAAAAATAAGAAATGCACCACTTGCCAATAATATCTGCGCACACTTAAGCTTTATTGTACCTACTCTTGATAATTATCCAATCACTTGAGTACCTGTCGAAAATGATAAACTTAATTAGTTTTGTCAAATATTTATTTTATTCATGATTTTACTAAAATATCAACAGCACGAACATTTTGATTACTTCAATATCTTTTAGATTACATAGGGTTCTCTTATTCCATAACTCAGTTATGTTATTGGGCTGGTTATATTTTAAATAAAAATAAAGTAGGTATAGTTAAGTATTCAAAATCAATATAACATTATATTATAATATATAATAGTAAATAGTTATTGTTTCTCGTGAATGTCACATTTATATTCTGTAGTACATAAACTCAATTATTACTCAATTAACTAATAGTTCTAATATTATTTAACTTTAATAATATTTAACTAAATAAAATTATTCATTTATATATATCTATATATATATATAGTAAATACTACGAACTATGTGATATTTATTATTTATGACTTATCTGCAATTATTTATACACAGTCTATCGGAATAAATGTATAATACTTAGTCAAATAGAATAAAAATTAGTTTAAAATGATTTGGTATATAATAAATGATTCATTTTGATACTGATAAAAGCATTATATAGATTACTGTGTATTTCTGTCAAAGCATTTAATGTAGGAATAATAATGAAATTCAATAATTAAATATGAATAATAATTTATATACCATTTTATAAAAATACATGGATTCTGAAATTTTCATTTTATGATTAATGATACACATAATAACGAAATAGTTATAATTTTTAATTTTCCTTCAGTATCACAAAATATTAACATATTTAAATAAAGCTAAAAAGATTAAGTTATATTGTAATGTAAAATGTGAATTCGAGATATTTTTAAATTAAATTCAAATACATAATTCATTATTTGATTTTGAATTTTTTTTGTCCAGTTGACAATCTGTTAAATCGAGAAACACAAAAATTACTTATTTCGGAGAAGAAACTTTTTTTTTAGTTTTTAAATAAATATTAATATAAAATAATTAAATTTAATATACCTGGGAAATTTGGTATGCAAGTAAAAAATATTTCACTTATTACAATTGTAGATAGTGAATACAACAAATGTGGTATTATATCTAAAAATTGAATATATTGAAATCAAAATTTAAGTAATTATCCTTTATATGAATTTGATGTTGGTTCAAATGTATTATTGTTCATACCTATTGAACAAACATTAACAATATCAGCATAATAGCATTGATTATAGTTATAAGTATTTATAATTAATTAAATAAGGTATCTTATTAAGGTATCTATATCTACTACAGGTTCATAACAATACCAAATATTGAATATATACATTTTAAGTTTTAGTTGTTACATGAACAAAATCGTAATTTATGTAATTTAAATCATATTTGTGCATAATTATATTGCTCTTTTAATTATTTAATATTATACTACTTAAATGTCAAGCTAATTTTACTTTAACATATATATTTACACAAGAATAGTTAAACTTTAAAGTTTGGATAAAAAAATACCGACTCAATTAGGGGTAACTACCCATATTCCTGTCAAGTTTTAAAAGTAAATAAGTATTTAAGTGTTAAAAATTAAATTAACTTTATTCTAGAATTAAATAATATTATATTATGACAAGTTAAAAAATATTAAGAAAATTAATAAAATAAAAATAATACCATTTACCTTCATAAAATGCTTTCATCATTAGCCATTTATAAGTAGCCAAATAGTACTGTCTTAGTGAACACAATTTGAGTGAATAGTAGGGCGTTTACTCTAAAACATTTGTTTCTCTAAAATTGTTTATATTTTATTTTATTATTATTATTAATTGCAAAGAATTATTAAGTATGTAATATCCAATTTGTATTAATATTTATAATAACATAGGAATAGTGTTCTTTATTGGTCAATTCATATTTTGAAAACAAATTGCTTTTCAAAACATTGAAATCCATAAACTAAGCTAATGTATTTATTTAATGAAAGTAGATGATAAACACAAAGTGGATAAAACATATTATACTCTACTAAACAAACTGAACATAGGTACCTAATGGAATACTATATTGGTAAAAGCCAAATCACTTGTATGGCGTTTCTTTATTCTTCAGACATTGTATAGAGCATAAACAAATATTATTCATCCTGAAAGCATTTATGAGTTAAAATACTTTTTCTGCTAATACTAAATAGTAAAATATATAAAAGGATATTTTTGAAAAATGATTTGAACATAATATTATTAATAAAGTGTATTGATTATAATTAATAATATATAATAAATACACAGTAAATATTTTTATTAGACTTATTTAACATCTTTCCAATCCCTTGCCTTGGGTTCACACAAAAATGTAAAATACAACTACAAATGAATCTCACCTAATGAAACATTTAAATAATACACAATATTAAATATTTTAACTATAATAGTATTATAAAAAATTATTTATATTTAATTTATTTGTAAGTCACAATTCTCACAAAATATTTTATGATTAATCAGTTTTAATTTGGTTTGTACCAGTACACAAAATACAAGAATCAATATTAATTATTAGCACACATATATGTATACTTTTTGAGTTATTATTTTATAACTAACTGTATTTTGTACAAATTATGTTGCCAATAACAATTTATATGTAGCTCAGACACCTAATTCCAATTAAATATTAGGCAATAAAATTAAGTTATTTTTAACTAGATATTATGATAAAATATAACAAATACATGAATAATATTATATATAGCAAAGAGCAAATTATAATTATACAAAATTCACAGTTAACTGAATTGGTGAACTTGATTCTTCATAATTTTTACAACCTTATAATAGAAATAACATCTAAAATAATATTATATAAAGTACGTCTAACATCCTATTAATAAATTTTCATACTGTAGTTATACTAGATGGAATTAACAATGTATTGCAATAACCTAATCTAGTATACTATAATAATATACATATATATTTTTATATATTTTATATACATATATATATATATATGAATATATAAAATACATAGGTGGTGGTATATAATCTATATATTTAATATTTATACAATATATAAATATATATATATATATATATATATATATATATATATACATATATTATTATTTTATGTTTGAGAGGACAAAATTATAAAAAAAAAATATTAACTTACAATTGGGGACATGTGCTATAAATAATGGAACAGCAGATTAAATTAAATTAATGTTTATTTCCATACATTTGTTTTCTAATATTTTAGTATTTGTTTTAGATATATATACAGAGCACAAATGAGAAAACATAAGATTTCAACACTTAAAGAAATCTATTTTATCTGTTGTCACTGACTTTGATACTGCATTGAATAAACACCAGCTTGCATATTGCCTGGTGTAGACATCTGTTGTCCATTAGCAGTTTGTCCAGTTCCATTACCCATTTGATATGCAGTGGCATTGGCCATTTGATATGGATATCCAGTGTATTGACTATATGCAGCAGCACCACCATAGCTGGCTCCTTGCATACCTGGCACATATTGACCTTGCATTTGAGCATATGGATACCAATAATTCATTCCTTGGTTATATGCCATATTGTATGAGTATTGACCGGCAGTATCTGTACTTGCAGCTGCTTGAGCAGCAAGATTAGCTGCACTATTTGGATCACCCGATTCTTTTCCCCAGAAACACTTGACAGGATGTCCATTAATTTCTGTATTGTGCACTGCTTCGATGGCAGTTGTTGCCGCTTCTTTAGTAGAAAATTTAACAAATGCATAACCTTTATCTCGGAATGCTCGAATTTCTACAATAGTGCCAAAGCGTGAGAACACTTGTTCAACAAGCTCTTCTGTTAAGCCTTCTACAATACCACCACAATATACTGTACAATTTGTCGGACTGGACTGATTATAGACATCGTCAAATGTTACTGCCCGGTAACCACTGTACTTGTTTGGAGCCCTTGGTGGTGGAGGTTTTCTGGTGGACCAGTTAGTCCTGATACTCCGGCTACCTAGCCATTGGCCATTCATAGAATTGATAGCATTCTCTGCATCAGATTTTTTTACAAATGATACGAAAGCGTATCCCTTAGATTTTAAAGTTTGAGGGTCGCGTACAATGCGACAGTTGGAAATCTCTCCGAACGGCGCGAACGCCTCTTTCAGAGTATGTGTTTCGATCTCGGGACTCAAGTCACCGACGAATATATGATAATGGTTGCTTGTGTCAAGCTTGGGCTGATTGCCGGGTGTCGTGGCCCAATTTACTTTCATTTCTTTGTCTAAGAAAAGTCGGCCGTTCATTGCCGCCAGTGCGGTGGCCGCGCCCGAATGTGTGTCGAACTCGAGGAACGCATAGGGATCGCTACCCGGCTCGCGTATCACCTTGCAAGCGTTCACCGGGCCAATGTTCGTGAACAATGCACACAGCAGCTCTTCGGTGACGGACGGGTCTAGATTACCAACGTACAGCGTACGAGGATTGCTCTCGTCACTCATTTTAAACTCCCGTTCGGGTACTGATACCGTTTGTTTGTTGTTGACGGATTGAAACTTCACACGCGTTACGGGAGGTGGAAAACGAATATTTCTAAAGCTCTAGTTATTGGTTTTTACTCACGGAGTGCGTTTGTCGACCAAACAACAAAACGGACAGCTCGTCGCAAACGGTTGGTACAAAACAATGGACGGGCGTTGTGTCGTCGTCGTCGTCGTATTATCAGCGACACGGGAAAACCGAACTGCGGTTGGCGTACGGGGACGCGGGCTTTTCGCGGACAACTCGAAAATGACTAGGATCGTTGCGGTTTCACGTACGCCTATCGGGGACACACCATTTTTTTTCGCGTTCGAGTAAAATACACTACGGGTGAACCACATATACATGTACGTAAGGCGAGAGAGAGAGAGTGAGAGAGTGAGAGAGAGAGAGAGAGAGAGAAAAAAGTTCACGTAAATAATGAAAGGTTAAAAAAAAATGTTCGTATCACCACTTTTCACAGTGCCGGCAACACGCGGGCCCCGGCACGTTGCCGGCGCGGCGTTTTCCTACGGACAGAAGCACACGACACCCGTCGACGACGCGTACATTTCCGGGAAACTTGCGGCCCCGGTGCGGGACAGGCGGCGCGTCGGGGGACGTTTCGGTCGTCGGTTCGCGGTCGCACTGCGCGTCGGCCGGTTGACGTGTAGATAGCGCGGCGCGCGCCGCGAAACATGGCGGCGGACGCGACCGCCAGAATGCACGCCCGATCCTCTCCTTGACGACGACGACGACGCCGCTGCACCGGGTGATGTGTTCTCCTGCGAATGGCGGCCGGTCGCCGGAGCTCACGAATACCGTTATCGCGCCACTGATAACGTTCGTCCGTTGCCGTTTTGGCGCGACCGCCGTCGGGGCACACGCGCATGGTCCGGCGTTCCTTGTCCCGCCGCTACCAGGTGCTTCGCAGTCCGTGGCGGGTGCTGCTTGGGTTTAGGGATAGCAGCTGCTTGTGCAGTGCTGTAGCTACCAAACATTGCGCCCGGGGCGAAACTTCAAAATGCGCCCATATGTATTTTTTATTTTGAAAACATTAAGCTTGTTAGATATTATTTTCAACGATTGCTTTAATAAATACGAAGGACGTTAAAGATTTTGCGAATAAAATATACGAAATTGACCGTTGTAATTTTTAACGTTAAACGCATGATTTTCGATTTTCGCGCTCTCCCAGGAATCGCGCTCGGGGCGTAGGCACCTCTCACCACCCCCTTGCTACGGCCCTGGCTGCCATCCCTGATTATTATAATGGTTGATTGGACCCCTATCCCCAATATATCTTCATCATTATTCTACTACGTATAAAAATATTAAAAATAAGCTACAGAATATATATGGTCCATTAGCTTATATATAGGTAACTGACAAGATACTAATGAGTATTTTATCATTCATAACGTCACAGACCAACTTCAGACATTTGCATATAACCCCAATATATTAGAAAAGGCTTTATTCTATTAATTTTTCTACAGAAGCTTATAACTGAGAGTCCTGGTGTGCATAAATATAAATGTAATTATTAAGTACTTGGTTGGTGGTCGGTGTTTTCCATTCGATATGCTACCCCTATTTATCTTAAGAGTGTGAGCCACTGTTCGCACTACCAGTGGTGTGCCCCGTCTTGTGCGTTGTCGAATACATCGATTTTCGAAAATTGATCGCAGAATACTTTAAATTTATAAATGTTATTTTTGTCGCGTTAATAATACCTCCCAATTGCGTATATTTTTAATTTTTACAGGAATATAAATCAAAATTATTTAAATAAATTGATACCATGTAAATATTTAGTACAACTTCAATAATTATTTCATACACTGAATGAAAACTGAATGTCAATAACAAAATCAGACCAAAATTAAAACATGTAAAACTAATTACATTTAATACTTTTCCGCGAAGTGCTTGAAACTTGAGAGTATACTTAGTATACCTGTGAATTTTCAAAAAAATGTTGTCAGTAAACGGCGTACATGTAGTATACTCTAAGGCAAGGGTCGACAACCTTTTGAACCACGCTGGCCATATTTTTTATCAAATGTTTATCAAGGGCCACATTAAAAAAATTTTTACATATGATATATACTAATAATTGTATTGCTATTATATTTGATTATTTTACTTAGAAATATGAGTGTAAAAAATACGAATGTTACAGGAAAAAATTGCTTTTAAGAAAAACTTTAATTTTTTGACAAATTAAACATAATGGTTTACCTTTGTTTTCGATGAAAAAGTAAACAATTACAAAAAGTAATCAACCCAAGAATTATTAAAAAAACGATGTTCATCACAATTTTTTTTTTTTTTAGTCGCCATAATGTTTGGATTTACTTGTAAAATGAAACTATTACAAACGCAGTCACATGTACGGGCGTAATCACTGTGTAATACTAACTGCTACAAACGCAAAGTAACTATGACCATAGATTAAATAAATTAGATACATATGTATTAAATACATAAATTAAATATATTTAAAATTTTAATTTTTAAATATATATAAGTACATTTAATTTATACTATGACTGAGTAGTGCAGCCATCATTATCTTCGACTTCGATTAGATAATAATAACAATTTTATAGATTAAACTGACTATACAACTATATAGATATACTATACTATTAACGATTAGATTAAATTTTATTTATAAAAAAAAAAAAATTGAATAGTATTGAAAATTGTATGAAAAATTTTATTGAACAAAAATAAAACACAAAAATGAACTACCTTTAGTGGTTAGTGGGCCATAAAAAATTGCTTCGCGGGCCACATGCGACTCGCGGGCCGCGGGTTACCGATCCCTGCTCTATGGGAACACCACTGGTTACATGGGCGTTATTTCAATTAATCTTAAGGGCGCCACTGACTAGAAATAAATGTTTATACTTCTACAGGTTGTAGGTAGAAGTGGCGTACTCAGGGAGGGTGAAACAAGGCAGTCCCCCACCATAGTCATTCTTTTTTTTTCAATTTTTTGTTATTTGTATACTATATTACAATAGCAAAATAAATGAAAGTACCAACACTGTAAAATCATGTACGCGATTCGTCCCGTCTCTATAAAATAATCCAGGAACGCCATTGATAAGCGGATACTTAAAGGAGAGTTCTCACTATGCCGAACGGCAATTTGCAGCAATAAATAACTATCACCACTGTTTATTTTGTAATGTATCTCATAAAAATCAATGTGTCATTGAAAACGCATGACAAACGTAAAAACGGTGTGACGCTTCGATTTGTATGAAAATTTTGTAAAAACAAACTAGGGATTTTTTTTTCTTACTGTTATGATAATATTCTAAAAATAGTTTCAATAATACAAGATTTGAATGAAGATAGGAAAAAAAATTTCAAAAAAAATCTTCATTGGGCCATCACAATGAGTACACAATACTAGGTCTATATACCTCATCTTTAGCAAAAATATCCTGTATATAACTGGTGGCAAATATTTGGTAGATAAGATGGATTATATCTATAAACATAAATATTCTAAACGACTGGTCTCTGGTGGACATCCATACACGACATACTTAGGATTTATTTCATTGTTATACACCAAACGCATTCAAACGAGACGAATCCAATTCCCAAATAAAATATACACGCAATTGTGTTGAACGCTTATTGGACATATCTCTTTGTTACGTCAAAACCGTCGGAATTATTAGTATTAATGTTAAGTAAAAGAATTTCCTCGGAAAACGTAAGAATTTAAAATTATTAATAATATTGATATTTAACAATATTGTAAATATTATGTTAACTATATTAATTTTTTACTTATATATTATCCCTTTTTTAGGGATGTTTTTATTTGTGTTACGTTCATTTATTGGTATTTTTGATAATGAAAAATCGAATTATAATTATAATTCTGTTTTAAATAAAATCTTAAGAACATAATTAATTAATATTTTGTTAATTAAAAACATTGAATACATAGCATTTTATTAAAATATTTTGGTTTAATACATACGTATATTGAATAATTAAATGTCAAAAAATTAATTTTTACTGTAAATTAAAGTATTTATGTGTTTAAGGTATTTTGGTCATAAAACAATTTATTTTTTGAAAGTATTTAAAATATTTAATTATTAATTTAAAAATAAATACAATCGTTTTATTATAATAAATTAAATATATATGTAATGAATTGCTTACTTTATCGAAACCGATACGTTTAAAAGAATATAATTTCTTAAATGCATTATGAACCTGATTAATTTTTAATAAAACCAATTCCTTGAACTACTACTTAGAGTTATACATAATAGCAATGATTTCTATAAAATATAATTAAACAAATGGTAGATGCCAAAATAGTACCACATAAGCAGTGTTGGGACTTATCTAGATAAATGTATCTAGATAGATTTTTTGTCATATTTTATGTTATCTAGATAAATAACGCTAAGTTATCTAATTACTTATCTAAGATAAAATTTTTACTTATCTAGATAATTATCTGTATTCTTGCCAAGATTAAAGTTATTTTTATTCTTGTACGGAGACGAATCCAACAAATCAGAGATCATAAAAATCGATCCAGCCGTTCTTGAATTATGAAGTCTGTAACTAACCCGACTTTCTTTTATATATATATACTCGTATATATATTAAATTCATCAGTAACTTTTCTCGGATGTATGTTCATTAATGCAATCTATTTAACCATGACTACCCCGTCGATTTCTAAAATACGTTTTTAAACGTTTATGACAAAAAAAAAAAGCCCTCTAGGCACGCCACTGGTCATGGTACTTAATACCACCATCCCAGACTGTAAAATATTTTGGTTTAATACTCGGTTTTCGTTTTATCAGGTTCCCCATTTCAAAGCCTTAAATGTTCTATACATTTAATACTGCCACACTATCGTTTCCTGGAGGTCCACCGAAACAAATAAAAAGAAATTGGCGTAAAAACTCCTCGAACAACTAAAATATTAATAATATGTGTAAATAATAAAAAAAACAACAAATTACTTATGCTTGCATGTATCATTTTTGGCTGACTATTATGATTTTTGTCTATTAAACCAAAACAAATGATCACCAAAATAATGAAAGATTAGTATTTAGAAATAATACCAGCTGGTTATGTTTGTGTTTTATTAAAAAATAACCGAATTGTGCAAAGCGGAAAAATCATACTAAACTCGTTAACTATAGTTTATTCATGATTGATATCTTGGTTATAGCCGAAAAAATCTAATTTAACTGAGTCCCTGCCTTAATTTTAACATTAAGTTTTTCACAAATCATGCTTATGTGTTGGTAACTTATATTTGTATAGACTTGATATTGATAATATTAAATGTTTATTTACTATTTTATATTATATATTATCTGACGGTTTATGTTTATATATAAAAAAATAATATGATAAACGATGTGTATAGGATCCCGTCAGTCGTCAAGTATAATTTTTCTATCCGCCCGTGAGATTAAAATTAATTAAAATACATAACTCAATATTTTAAAATTTACATTTTCAACACAAATATTAGAGATTTCGAATATCGTGCATAATTACCTATCGTATGGTACCTATCGTATCAACTGATATTTTTTTGGATGACATTTTCCGAATTGAATTAATTTTAATTTTTATCATCATCACATTTTTTTCGATCAATTATTTCATTCTAATCATAAATTATTAAAACTTGACTAGTTGGCAATATAATAAAACATATATCAAAAATTAATTATTTTTCTGGATAGCAATATAGTATTTTAAATACTAAGAAATAAACACATGCATAGATGAAAAAATCAAATGTAAAAAAAAATGTTTTTTTTTTTTTTTTAAATATTCTTGTATAATCATATACATATATTGACATGAAACTTTAATCGTAGGATTAAGATTGTAACGATATTCGCACTTCATCGAAGGGTACATATTAGAATGCAAGACACAGCATAGAATACTATATAAGTACAAATGTGCATTAAATGGAGATAAATTTACCCCCAAAAACCCATACGTAGAAAACATAAAAATAAATACACAATATCACAAATAGTCGTGGAGCACCGAGTACTTAGATAGACGTACATTACAATAACACACTTTTATAGAACACGTGTATATTGAGGTTCGTACGTGGGTTAGTGGCAACATAATGCAACATTTTCTTTTTAGGGACAGGTAACTTACAGCTGCTGCGTACCATCTTACCATGAAGAAAATTTTCTCTCTCTTAAATTTTAAACCAATATCCGTTAAAATAGTTTGCAAAATGTAACGAAATAAGTTCAACATCGCATCTGCAGTATACAATATACACATGTTTATTGTATGATGTGACCATGTTGAACTACCACTAGATGCGTAAGTTTTTCAACATTATAATTTATCAATCAAAATGCTGTGTTCGTTTTAAGCGTGTGTTTTTAATGGGCTTGTTCGTCCTGTTCCAAGATGGATACCGAAAGCAAACGATTAATTAAATACATACCTACATTTTCGGAGGAATATATTTACATAAAACTGTTTCCAGTCTTAAGACAAATAGCAACATACGAAACAGTACTTCGTCCAGGATACGTAATAATATTATTATTTTTTCCAATCATCATGACGGTTAAGAATCGGAATTTAAAATGTTTTTCCCGAACTAACCGATAAGTACTAGAATGCATTCAAAGAGTTTTCAACAATTTTTTTTTTCAGATCAAAATTCATATTCTTTACAGTACATCCAAAATTTAATAAATTATACTAAACGGTTTACATCGAATTGAAAAAATTACATATATATATATCTAATATATGTGTAATATACCTATTCAAATATTATAGTAATCAAATTAACGTTTATGGAGCAAATTACAACGCAAGTCTAAAAACGTTATTATAAATAATCAATAAAAACGTTATTTATACAAATATAAATCTGTAAATAAAAATATAATAAAGATCAAAGTTTGATTGTAAATATGACTTTGTGTGTAATAAACGAACATAAAATTATAGATCTACTACATCAATTTTACAATTAATTACTTTTTATGTTATCTCAATATGCGACTTAAAAGTTTTAAATCATTATAAATTTATAAAAAGAGAAGAAATAATATTTTTTTTTTTTTAATAAATTATAAATCATTGGTTAGGTTAGAATAAATGAAGGCAATAATTATTCTATCATTGGCAATTAATGTTTTAATAGTTTCAATAGATTCATGGAATTTCTTTCAACAGTATATATTTTTTAAAACAACTGCAAGCTAAAATGTAAACTTAAAATTAATTCACATACCAAAATTTCACTTCCTGTTCTGATATTCTATCAGTGACGGTTTGCGTAAAATCTGTGTATAAATTATATTTTAAAAATATAGATTCTTATTTGAAGTTTGAAAGTTTCCATATATATATAAATTTTTTTCTTTTTAAAAACAGTATATTTTAAATATTAATTTTATGTAATTTATTTTAAATCCATCAGAAATAAAATATAATTAAAACAAGGAATTTTGTGATTTGTTTTTTATTTAAATATCTTATAGAGCGATTCACCGTTCAAAAGATCTTATGCATTATAATATGCATACGAGATCGATCCTGATCGTTTTGATTAAATGTTAATATTATTATTTTTAATTATAATTTTAATTATAAACCAAGAGGTGTCATAAATGTGTGATTCTTTTCTCTTTATGTGTTTTTTTACTAATGTTAATTATCAGTAAAAATCACTAATTGTGCACTGGCGATTATCGTAATTTTGCATAATAAAGTTGAACACTAAAAAATTAAAATTAAAATATTTGAGCTGATATTTTTTGAACACATTATTTGTAATAGTATTACTTATTCTACAAAATAAAGTAAGTTTACGTAATCCCTTACATTTGTATACACATGTACACATGTACTTATTGAGTCCTGGAAATGAAAATGCTGTAAATATTATAACGCATTTATATTTTGTATTAAATGCATGTTAGGTAAAATATTTTTGCAATAAGTATTATTTTAAATCAAAGTTAAAATTTAAAATTTATTTCAGTTATTAACATTAAAAACAGAAAAAACGTAATCAATAAAAATAATGAACATAAACATTTTTCAGGCTTAAATAAAATATTAGATTTAAAAATTATTATCTTGTAATTAATATAATACAAGTACATACAGGTATTAATATAAATTATGGACAATGATCAAACATATTGGTGGAAAACACTAACTGCAATGGAAGAAATTTTATTTACAATAAAGTAAAATACATTTCATTGAAACACAGTTATACATCACAAGTCAAAAAGGCATACAGTTATATGCATTTATTTTATATAATAATATACAATAAAAAAGTTCTTAAAATAATTTGATCAAATAATTTTGAAAATCAAAATAAATATCGATATAAAAAATAAGTTGTGAAGGCAACTGTTTAATAAACTCACTACATAATTACTATTAATAATGTAATAATAATTTTATCGTAGCTACTTACAAAATATGTGTGTCTAAAGGACTAAATTGGAATATATGAACATGTGGGGACGAAATGGACGAGTAACACCAATGTTAGCACAACTTATTTTCATTTGAATAAAATACAGAGTTCCAACAGTATTTTACAATAATAATAATAACAGTATTATTTTATTAATAAATACATGAACATTGTCTTTATGACTTATTAATAACAACGTAGTACCTATATATAACATGAAACTTAATGTAATATCTCATTTAACGTTTTAAAATGTAATCGTAACGAACACAGTAAAAGTTTTACGTCTCATATATATAGTCGTACATCGAAATTCCTTAAGTGATAGGTAATAACAATAATGGACTGGGCAAGGTAAACAATTTTATCGAGATCGAAATAATAATAATTTTGTTTCTTAGATTTTAATTTATATTATGACCGCAAAACGAACGACTACGATGGTCTCACTCAAAACGTGCATCCTGTCGGGATCGATATTGTGACATATTATTATAATGTTGTAATAATTACTAAGGCGAAGAACGATTTCCTTTAACTTGATACAAACCTAAGGCCACGGTATTTTCTTATTGAATAATACGCGTTTTGCGTTTAATAGCCAGCGGTTTAGTCAATAACCGCATAGGTGAGTACCTTCAATAATTAAAATTAACAAACTCAAAAATATTCTCGTTGTTCCAACACGCGTTACACGAAAAAACAGCATGTCCTAGTTAATTTTTTTTTTGATATGTGTCACTTGCAAAAAAAAAAAACAACTGCGTTGACGACAACAAGACATTTTTTTCTACTCATCGTATTGTATTTCCGATCAACTTGGACAGGTTAGTATAGCAATACGTGGTTTATATGAATTCCTAGTGTACCAAGATTTAGTGACCATTAATGGTTTGAGTTTTATAGGCTCGAAGTAAACAATTTCGATCGAGGCGCAGAACGAAAAATAAAAAGAACATTTTTCTAAGACAGAGGTCACTAGAAAAACAGTGATACACACATGATGTACCAGGAAGTTCTGACGTTTCTACGTACACTTTTCGTCCATCGGACCCTTCTATGATATGCCTCGCATGTGCAAATAAATACGTAATAATAAATATCGTGACTATGAAACTAATGTATCGTCGCTCCTGTCATGGGACCAACGAATAAGAGAAACACCGATTTATAACAATATCGTTGTTCATTATACGAAAATGCAATAACAATTATTTACCGAAAACATATATAATATACAAATTTAGATACTTAGATTATTATTTTTTTTAAATTACCCTGTAGCAAACAGAAAAATATCATCAATAACTTTTGCACAATGATAACGGTATAATATTTTACATAACGGTAACATCGCCGTTACCTATTTATACACCATTTACTGCGAAGGAAATATCTAAAACGCGTTTTGTTTATTTTTATTTTTGTTTTTCAATGTTTACTTGTTTTTATTATATTTTTATATTTTTGTTTTTTCGTACCAATCCCGTAAACCATTTTTTAGTGTTTACATATTATATTAATTGATAAAAATAATTGTATTTTATTTTATTTTTTTTTTAATTCATTACGGACTAATACGAAATAATATTGTTCGATTACAATATACGTGTACTAACCTACCGACCGCGAACAATTAAAAACACACACATGCATGAATATATATCACTGCGGTCGGTCAAGGGTTGTTCTAGCGTATATGGACGGATGGCGTATCCGGTGGTGGTATCCACGGTTAGCGATGGTGACGATGTGATTGTTTCCGGTTCACGTCCACCCGCCGAACTGCCGGGATTGTTATAAAGGGTCGTCGCGGTCACAATAGCTGGTTTATGCAGCGCGCTCGCGTGCGGTTGCTCGTTTTTGTAAAATGTTTTTTTTTTTCGATTTGATTTAATTTTGTCTATTTTTTCTCACGTTCACATTGTCTACCAGTTGAACAGGCTCGCCCGATCTCGCGTGCCCACGCGCATGTTGGGCGAGCGAGGCTCGTTTCACAAAACCGTATCCAGCGTATCCAGCGACTGAAGTATTCCCTCGTCCCGGCTACACCATTCGATCAGCTCGTCTAGGGTCACGTTACCGTCATTATTTTTGTCGATCAACTGTAATCAAAAACACAGAACAATGTACAGTGCACAGTTATTGCTTCCCGTTTCCACTGAGCCGGAGCGCACTCGAAAACGTAGTAAAATAGATATTGTCGCGATGGCCTACGCTAGTATTCGGTACTAACGGATTACGTCTGGCGAAAACAAAAGCGATTTGTAAAAAAAAGAAAAAAAGCTATTTAAAAAAATATCATATTTGGGGCACTATTCCGACGAAATAAATCACAACGCATCTATCGTGCGAGAGTATGATAAATATGAGCAATTTCTTATATCAAAATTTGAAAAATTCAGTCGAATAGAAATGTATATTTGCCTCGAGCATTGAGCCCATTTTTGTTTTCAACCGCCAATCGGTTGGTAATACTCTTAATTCGCAGTTAGTAAATAAGATTTTCATAAAGAAGGAAGTATAAATTTTTTCAAGTATGGACGATTAATTGTGTTCATTTAACTATTATTAAACGCACGCATCGCTGATGTTTGCTCAAATCCGTTATGAATTGGTGTGAATTAAATTTAGATCTTCCTATTATTAATTTTTTTTCACAACTATAACTAAATTTGAAATGTATTATTTGTTTTTTTTTATTAATGCACTTAAAACGAATTACGTGAAAAATTCGATCAACGTGGTCTTTTGCAGATTGATCATTTGTCTGTGGATCAGTATGTCTGCCCAGCATACTATAAATGGAATGTACTACGTCTTGCATTTCTTTTTTTGTTATAACTCCATCTTTATTGAGATCATATAAACCAAATATCCAATGCAGTTTCTCTTGAACACTTCCTCGAGAAACTTTAGACAGTATGGCCAAAAATTCCTATAAACAAACAGTAAAGTTATGTCAGCAAATATTTATTAATTGATTAAAATATACTGAATAAAAGATAAATTCATACACTGTTTGATCAACAAAAAATTATATAATACCGTCTAATAAATTTTAGTCAAATTAAACATAAAATATTCGTTTTTATAGATGGAATAGGATGATATCGAACACGTTTTTAAGAACTGTATAGAGGGTTACTATATGGGTTATCCTGATAGATATTCGATTTTCTAGTTTTTTTTTTTTTTTTTTTTTATTATTAAGGTACAACAAACATTTCGTTAGTAATCGATCTACACGTTTATTATTTTTTCATATTTTCCAGTGACGTTTGATAGTATTGGCTTTGGAATGAATTATTGATAACGTTTAGTTTTGTTTATTTTTAAATATTATATAACACTATTCTGTGTGTACATTGTACACTAATCCATTAAATTAATTAAAATATAATATACTTTATGCATAAGACATATGTACTCTTATGCTTATATATATTTTTTATAAAATTATACGTAAAACAGTAAAAAGTAATATAGGTATATAATATCATATGGAATAATATCGATTAAAATTAACTTCATATATATGTATCATATAATAATACAAATAATTTAATACAAAGATATCAGTAAAGGAGGAAAAACCCTCTTAAGAATTTGAACGATTGTAAATGAAATACAAAACTAATAGTTACCTACTAGGTATATTATAGTTAATAACATATATAAATAAGTAAACAATTAATTTATTTGTAGAAATAGATAAATAAAAACTTAGGCTGACTATTACTATTATATTTGTAAAGTACGACCTGTTTCGAATAAAAAATTCATCATCAGATTCATACAAAGTTAAAATAATTTCGACTAAATATGAAAAAAAATAAGGGAAGGAATACATTGTGAAAAAATGTTGACTAATTAATCATGTTACGAAGAGATAATTTATTTTAATAGAAAAGATCAGTGATGTAAAAATACCGTATTTTATTTTTTAATTGTACCTATAATACGTGTATTATACATGTATTATACGTGCATAATACTGTATTTTACAAAAATTTTATAGTGTTTACATAATTGTTAAATATATAACTGCCGGAGTGTAATAAGAATATAAGATCAATAATATTAGATATTATTAGGTCGACCAATAGTGAAAAGAAACAGTAACTAACGTTTAGGAACTTCAATTAACTGTAACTTGTAGCCTGTAGGTAATTAAATTGAATTATTAGAATTTAGTATAATATTGTACTGCAGTCTACTGTCTACGATTATGACTTATAACTTGAGTTTACGACTTAGCACTTATCGCACTATGGTTTACAAATTTGACTAAAATCATGGAACTTAAGTTAATAGGTCTATCGTCTATGGCTAGAATAGTTCTTTATAATGGACAATGATGTTTATTCTTTATAATCTCTTTTCTATGATCGATGCCAATCGGCAACCACCTACCAATAACCATGTTACTCGTGTGGTCGTTCTCCGTCGTTTTATTACTGTTATCACTTATCACTGTTTTCTACCATTTATTAATTATCATTGATTTTTTTTTATACCACTTGTATTTTACTTTTTTATATTTGACGTATAATACGTCTGTATAATACAATATTATACAAATGTTTTATACAATTTACATCACTGTAAGAGATTATTTAAAATGAATTCTTACATAAATATATTAAGAAACATAAATATTATGGTTATTATTATTTATTATTAACTTAAATGTATTGATATCAGAGCATATACTACGGTTATTTTCTTAAAGATGTTTGGTAAAATTTGAATTAAAGTCAGTCTTTTTTTAAATTTTATTTCAGAACTTTGTTCGTAATATCTCATTTTAATATGTATATTTATCTTGTCTATATAACATTTATTACAGTTATATTTAAGTTTATATATACTAGCATTATTAAAAGAAGCGGGATTTTATGTGACGTTTTATTTTTCATGTTTGATATAATTATTATTCGTTTTAAAAGCGACTTTTACACAGTTACTTTTATGGTTTAGAATTTTAGTGAATTTGTTCGATATATTTTTTTGATATTTCATATTACAATAGTTAATAATATTATTTGGTTAGGTGTGTTTTATTTTTTCATTAGTACATACACGTTAATAAATCTTTTTAATAATATTCAAATTTAAATTATTTTTATGTGCTACACTATGGATAATATTGAATTTGTGTTGATAATTAAGTTTATTTAATGGAATACGCTGAAGTCTATAAAATATTGAATTGAAATTTTTTAAGAATATAGGTGATTAAAATCATGTGGTATTTTTGAATCAATTTAGTTAGGTGTTTTGTAAATACTTCAGTTAATTTTTTTTTTCTATGGAAATTATAAGGTCCAAGAAATGTAATTTATTGTTTATTTGTATTTAGAGAATAAATTGAATGTTTCTATTAATTTTGTTTAAATCTTAAGCTACATTTTCTAATTTTCTATTTAAGCCTTTAAATAAAATGAAAATTTCATCAATCTATCTATAATATGTTTTTATGTATAGTATATATATTTTGTTGTTAACAATTTTGTATGTAAATTTCAGATAAAAGATCATTTAAAGGTCCATCCATAACTAATCCTTATTTTTGAGAATATGATTTATTATTATATTAGAAATACTTCTGATTAATGATTATATTTATTGATTGAATTATTTCTTATATTTCGTTTGCATTGAATTTATTACTATGTAAAAATTTATTTTTTAAAATATTTACTGTTTCGTATTTAGGAATCGATGTGTATACATTTTGAACGTTAAGAGAGACCATTTTGTATCCTGATTTGATTTTAATTTTTTTAATTTATTCAATGAAATTTATAATGTTTTTTATAAAAGTATCTGTATACATGTTAGTTTTATTTTTTATAACTGAGTCTAAATATTTAGTAAAGTTGTAGCATTTTAAAAGTTAGTTAATAGAATTATCGGATTATTTTGATTATGTAATTTTATGAATGGATTTAAGTATTGAACCATTATTTTGTAATCATATTTTAATAATATTTTTTTTTAGAATTAAGGTAAGATTTCTTTCAAATTTTTTTTGTGTAAATTATAGTTTGGTTGGATTTTAAATTTTGAATGTTATTATTATTTGTAAAATCTAAAGTTTTTTTCATGAATCACAATACCATTGGATGTATCTACTGGGATTATTTGCTTTTAATTTATTCATTTATTACATTATTAATAATTGTATTTTATCGTTTTACTAAATTATTTTGGAATTTTTATGAGTGTTGTTTATTAAGTTATATCTTGTTTGATTTTGATTTTTAAATTGTATATAATTTATAACTGATTCACATTGTACTAATTAGTTTTGAATTGATCGAAATTTAAAGTTTAATGTGTATTACATTTTCTACCTTTATTTAATAAATTGTTTTCAGCTTCAGTAAAAATTATAGAAATTAAATTAGTTACTACTTGTGGTTGAAAAGAATGTTTGTTATTAATTTGTAATTTTTGTGTATTTTGTGCTACTAAAATATTAATTTTATCATTAACCCAATGCTATTTTTCTATAGTTGAAATTTTTTTTGCATATGATTTTTAAAGAGTGAAATTTATAAATGGTTTAAATGATGGGATAAAATTGATTATAAATAAATAATCTCTTCTACTAGTACATGTTTTTTTTAGAATAACAATTTTATATTAGAGTTCTACCATATTGTCTCTGCTCCTCTCTTGGCTTTTATTGCAGCTTTAGAAGTTTATTTGATATATAGGTATTAATGTATTTTGGAACGACTTTCAATTGTGTACAAGTTTTATTAAAGTAGATATTTAATCCTGTTTATTCACTGATTTGGAGCATTGGTTTGACCAATGTAATAATTTATTACATTATATACCTACTCGTATATTATATGATATATTATTATTATTATGATATTATTTATATTAATTATATAGTAATTGACAAGTTATTGACAAGTATTGACAATTTATTAATTTTTAATTTTAATTTAATTTTATTATTTTATTATATATTATAGTTTTTTGTTAATTACGAAAGTGATTTCAAATGTTTACATAAATAATGTTAAGTATAAATTGTACATATAAACAATTAATAAATATTTAATTTTGTTAAACATATTTTTCAAAATTAACGATTTTTTCCATTAGATATATTAAGATTTTGAATTTAGATCATGAAAATATTCTATAATTTGAATGTGATAAATGTCCAAACATGATTATTGTTAAACAAGTACATTTTTAGCACAGTGAAGACGTTTAAAATTTTATCGAACCACGGGTGACGTACACCGTGGATATGCAACCGTCCGGAAAACAAATGTCCGATTATTTTCCGGGTTGACGGACACGCTATGTCACTGGAAGGCGCACGATGGTAACTCGTTAGCGGTTTGAGTACTCTTTTGAAAACCGTATCCTTCGGTGCGAAGAGTTGCATTGCACAATGCCACTACGCATAATAAAAATAATAACTTTTCCAATACGTTTTTTATAAGCCTTTCTATACGGCTGACGTCTGACAAAAAAGCGTTGAATTCCATTAAATGTTATAGGTACGGCAAGAGACGAATAATAATCCCAACACGAATCCAGTCGATGAAAGTATTCTTCGGACGCATCTGAACGCTGGCGTGTGTATAAAGACGTGATGGACAAATAAAAATGTAATGTATTTTTTAATGAATATCCAGGGGACTGGAGTTCGTTCGTCTCCAAGTTTCGATTAGAAAATTTAACTGTGTTATAATTAACAGAACCGGTGATAAGTCGCGTTTACATTGTTCGTTTCCTCGGTGCGAATTAGACTAATTTGTTGTGTTTCTTGATGTCACACGAAGCAAAATAAGTATTCCACGCGCGTATGAGAATCGTAAAGGAACGGGGACTCGGACGATAAAGGGATTATTATTCGTGTTCGAAACTCGTCACTGTTCGCAATAATGCTTTGATTATTATCTCGTACGTACATTACTGACGATATGGTCAGTGGTTACAATAACATTTTGGACGTAAATAATGGCATACGATTCTAATGATTTTTTTTCCGTACCACGCGGGTGGTCTATCATCAACAAAGTATTTAACGTATTTGTTTTAAAGCAAAAATCAAATTTATGCGTTGAAAACAAGTTTTTTTTTAACGATTGAAATAACGAATTAAATTGTTTCGAAAGTTTAACGATGCACACAATATGGATGATTATTTTAACCTATCATTTTGATCGTTTTACCCGTAAAAATATTTATTTTATCTTCAATTTTCTATAAACTATCTATAACTTCCATTTAACATTTTTTAAAACTAATATGGCTTTATTTATATGTTATATGCTATATTAATTATTTTTATAATATATATTATTCATAGTTTCTAAACGTAGAGCTTTATTTTTCAGTACACAAACAACTGGTGGAGTAAAAATTAGATTCCTTAATTAGGTTAATAGTTTTAATTAAGTATGAGATAGTGATTTTTTAGGAAATACATTACAGGATTAAATACATTTTAATATAATTATCTTACAGAATAATGTATTTTTTTTTTTTTTGTAAATCAAAAGACATTTTTTAAATTAATTGTAACGTAGAAGGCATTTAAATGACAAAAATGTATTGTTTTTAAATAATTAATAGTAAATATATTTATTTTTTTTTAAAGTTTTACCATAATTAATTATTAAATTATTAACTTTATGATAAAACACACTACACTCTACTTTCACTACTTTAATTATGTAAATTTGAAATATTAATGAAAATTTCCCAGAATATTAATATCGTTGAAAACTTATTAAAACAGTACTATTCTCAATAAAGTTGTATACCTCTTTTAGCCGAAGACAGTTGTAGAGTATTAAAATGCGTACAGATATATTATTATGACTTCGTGAGGATTATCATCCTCGAGAACAGTATTAAAATCCAGGTGATGATAATAATTTTTTTAAAACATATCGTAAAAATTATTAGCAAAGGGGTAAAGGTAAAAACTATAGATTTAATTATTGACATAAAAAATAACACTTTTTTTATAGAGATTTATTTTTAGAAAGTGATTGTATGAGTCTAATGAATTAAAATAGATATAAGATAAATAAAAACATCATAAAAAACATTAACGTGGTTAATTTATTTCTTGATAAAAATTTACATTTTAAAATCAATTGCCACTATGTTTAAATTAAATAATTGTACTTTATTAGTTATAAGATTCCATTCATGAACTAATTGCGTACCCTATCATACATAATGACTATATTCTTTAATACTAATAATTAATTATATGTTTGTAAATATTTCTACAACTAGTATTAATTTTGCTGTTGAAGAAAATATAGACGTATTTGTTCATTTAATGATACATAGAAGACATTGCAATCTTTGATGATTATTCAAAAGTTTAGTTTAATGGAAAACTTTTTTAACTTAACGACAGTTCTTCAATGACGTCAAAAGACATGAACACTGCTATACTAATAGAATACGAGTGAAAAATATTTTTTCTTTGGACAGGTTAAAAATCATCGATAAAAAAAACTTATAAGGTATTTTTTTGTACGTTTTTCAAGATGAATTGAAAAATTTTCCTTTTGACATTTTGTCTGACACTAAATAAAAGTAAAGCCTTACTAGATTAAAAATATCAGTTAAAGTTTTTATAAAGTCGTAGTCATGATGAAAATGCTCAAATAGTCAACATATTTCAATATAATTTAAAAATAAATAAACCTACCTTATTCGATAACATAATTAGGGTTTTCTGGGCATACGTAAACTGCACCCAAATGATCTTTTTTTTTGTAAACTTGGACCGAAATTTTATGTATGTTAAAAAGGTATAGTGTAAACTGTGCCCAACTTATTAATTTATTAAAGTCTCTATGTATGTCGCTTTCATTTAACATAGACTTGGAATAGAAGTATCCAACAAAATTGTTTAAGTAATGACTATAAAAATAAAAATAGTGATATTAAAAGATGGTTAGTTCAATGTTACCGTTTTAAGTCCAGGAAGTGTATCTGAGTATTTTGTCAATTATTTAATGAAATCAAAACCTGACGACGAAAGAGTGACACGATTTGTGGATTATTTGGTAGACGTAATTATAAGTGAAGAAGCTCAGTATTCACCTGAAGTATGAGCTCAAGCATCAGCAGAGCCAACTTTAACCACAAATGCATGCGAGTCTTTTCATTCTCACTTTAATTCCAGCTTTTATACAACTCATCTAAATATTTTAATGTTCATAGAAAAGTTAAAAGAAATTCAAATAGAAGTATACATTGAACTCAATAGTATAAATTAACCGTTTAAATTCCAAAACTAAATAAAAAAAAAAAAAACGCGAAAACGGAAAATTTAATTAATAAATATAATAGTGGTCAAATTCCAATTGAGGAATATGTATCAACCATATGTTAAATATTTGTAATACTTGTTTTGTTTGTTTTGTTTTTTTTAAATTATATATTTTTTGAGTTATTCATATTATACGGCTGTATTAAGTTAAGTATTTTATCTTTAATTTTACCCGGGCGCAGTTTATATGTCACCTTTTTACATTTGATATAAGCTCGGGCGCAGTACACATATCACCATTTTCTACTTGATATAAACTCAGGAGCAGTTTTCACGTGTGATTTTGTGTTTACCTGTATTTTGGGCGTAGTTTACAATCACCGGGGTTTTCTTAGGGAAGTTAATTTTTATATTTTTTCATAGGAACTCGATCTCTACTCTGTATTATACCTACTAATTAATTTTTTTTATATTTAAAAAAAACAATTCTAGTTATTTGTTATCAAACCTGTGTAAACAGACGCACAGTAAGTCTTTGTATGTATCATATAAAGACATAAAACAGATATATATATTTAGACTGGATATATTTCAATAAAATACAACTTTAATCGTATTTAAGGTTAATACTTTTATCGTAGATAGGTAACAAAAATTACTATTATTACTATTTATTAGGTATTTCGTCAAAAGCTTAATAATTTGTTTCTATTAGTAAAAGTTTTAATTTAAATACATGCTTATTATAATATTTTTAAATTTCTTGAAAACCATATAAAATTTGCAATCTTTTTATGCGCACATACTAATAAATTTATAATATGTAATATATATATATATATAAATTTAAATGTATTAATAATTATCATTACTATTGGTGTGTAGTTTTCGCATAATACGTTTCAGGTTTAGGACAATATTAAATATAAATTATAACTTAAAATAAATTTTGATTAAGTTAAGCATAACCGTAGTTATTATATGGCATGCACTTGTCGTTTCTTCCGTGCTAAATATAAATGATCACCCTCATTTGTGAGAGCGAAGAAATAAAATCTTAAGGGAAAGTAAATGATTATTTGTGAAGTAGATGAATGTGGGTTAATGCAACAAGTAAAGCATGTGTTTTGTTTGGCATAGTTTCTCATTTTAAAATTATTTTGTAGATTATAAGTATCTTCAAACATATACATTTATAAAAATTTGGTAAATAAATAAATTCTGTTCAAGAAATTATTTAGTCTATTCACTTAACTTTATATGGTACATTCACCTACGTTAATTATACCTTGTTGAAACACTAAGATGAATTTTGTTTGATTTGATAATTTAATAAATGGACGTAAATAATTACACTTTTTTATTTATTTTTTAATCAATCTAGTTAAAATTATAAAAAAAATACCTCGAAACTAATTTTTCCAGTTTGATTTCTCTTGATTGTATTGAACACATATTGGGCATATTGTGAGGCATCTAAAATATATTTTGTAAATAAATAAGTGAGTACATAATTAATTTTAAAAAGGTAAAATATATACGTTATAATTCCCAATTTGATTATAAGTAACAAGATATAAAAATAAATAAATTTATAAATAGGTACAATTGCAATTTTCGAATTAAAATATTAAATAATTAAATAGAGGTGTAAAAATAATATAATATGATTATAAAAATCTGTATAACATGATTGTTGTATTTGAATCACATTTTTTGTAAATAATTTATTTATAAACTCATTTTTGGTGGATAAACATATTGCTAAACCAGATGAGATTTTCAATATGAAATATTATATAACATGAAATATACAATATAATAAGTTTTTAAATATGTTATTGAACAAAAGTTTTTTTTTTTTTTAAGAAAATTGTACCGTAATTAATCATTGCAGGTGATCGAAAGTTTATTTTACGTTAATTGTAATTAGTTTCCTAATTAAATTGTTAATAATTTTATAGTAAAAATTTTTATTTCTATTGAATAATTAAATTACTTACCACCTTGGGGAAAAAATTGTGAGAAAATGTGTTTGAACGAATCTTCGTCCACCATACCTGTAGGACACTCCTAAAAATAATAGGTAATTTAATGAATTAGTATTATAGATATCGAAAATAAAAATACATTTTTTTTCATAAGTTACATCTAATATAAATTTGTATAAAATGGCTATTTGAAAATTATTGTTTGGTATCAAAATGTTAAACATTATAACATTATAATAAATAATCTATCTACCTAACATAGAAACCTACTCAAATTTTAGTTAAATTAACGTTTTTTTTTTTTTTACTGAAATTTATTTACGGTTATTAATTACTTTATATACATATATTTACATTTGTTATAAAATATATCAAATTAGTAAATCTTACACTTGTACACTTGGCATATCCATACATCATATTCCCATCTATCAAATTGAGACTTGATCAACGATTTATGAAACGTATTAATACAACATTAGTAACATAACTCAATAAGTTTATATTATTGATATTGAAAATATTTATTATTAATTATATTATATTTATAACATAACTTATAGACTTATCACTCAAACTCAAATATTCTTTGTTATAATACCCGGCAGCCATTACATATTTAAATTATAGTTTTATGTCCAAAAAACAAACATTTATAATAACCAAAAACATTTTTTTAATTGTACTTAAACGAGTAACTTAATGAATGCAATGGGGTTTATGTTTTTATCTTCAAACTCGACGTTATTTGGTTATTAATCATTACGCCTTGAGAGAAAACAATAGCACGAAAAAACGCTCTTCTTTTTGTTAATCAAACATATCTAATTGAGATATTGAAATTCATAAGACGGTTCTTAAGACTTTCAGGATTTTCGGAGGAAAAAAATACGAAATCAACTTAATTTAATTTACTTACTTGTTTGAATCCCCTATAAATTAGTTGGATTTCTTTTTTATTGAATTTAGTGATTTTTGTGAGCTTTGTTAATTCTTCTGGTCTGTATCTTGAAACGTGTATATTGAACTCATCAATATCTTCTTCTGTAACACATACAAAATAAAATATGTTATTAAATGTTCAATTGTAAATCTTTTTCTTGAAAATTATCAATTTAAGTACAAAAATAGAATTCAATCCCTTCTCAAAGATTATACATACGAGACGATTGTGTTCGGCATATATAATATATAAATAAGACTGTATATTTAATTAATAATGAGTTCTTGATATTTACATATTACTAGTATATTTAAAATATCATTATTATTTTTGAATAATTATTTCTTGTTTTTTCCTTAACTATTAATTTTTCTAATTTTTAATTAATGGATCCTATGAATGGATACTTCAGGTATATTTTAAATGTTCTAAAGAATTATAGAGAATTCAATCATATTTTTGTAATATAGACGTAAAAACCTTGTGTTATTACGAACAACCGTAATTAATTGCGTAAATCAGTCAATAAAATAAATAATAAAATAAATAAATAATTCAACTGATAATTTAAATAAAATAAACGGAATAGTCAACATTTTCGCAAAAATATCTATTATTAGGTACATAATTTTCTATGAAAAAAAAAAAAAATGAATTGTAGCTTAGGAGCATTTGGTTTACCGTCACAATTTATATACATTAGTTTCTTTCCTAATTTTTTTTAAGAATGTAAGAAATAATTTTACGATTGTTTAACATAAAATATAGTTTAAACATTTATTTAAAAATATTTTATAATTCTATACTCAAGGCTTAACCTTGATAATTCTCATAAATTAATGAAAGTTAAAACGAATTGTAACGTATTTTAAAGCTAACGAGAGTCGACTAGAAATGCCACAATTCTAGCTGCCTATTCAAGGCAACTCCTTTAAATTATATTTTTCCGAATTAAAATCTCATCTCTGCCCAACATTCTACTCCTGGTTGACATAAAAAGTCTTGAGGATTAAAATCGTAAATAAAATGAATTTAATGTTGGTAACGTGTTTAAAAATTTAGGCCATTTAAATCTTTGCATTTTAACCATAATTATTGTTTAGCTTTAATTTCCATCATTAGCATTTTATCATTACATTAGTGAAATTGATTACTTGTCTACATGTAACTATAGTAATGACAATTACTGATCATTGAACATAAAAATAATAAATAAATAGATTTTATGATTTAAATCATAAATTCAACACGTATTGAAATTCAAGATGAAATTTTCAAAAGGATGTTTACTAAATGTAAAATAATTATTTTTAATTACAAATATAATAATTATAACTTTCCAGGTCTAAATAAAAAATAAAATATCTACATATATATATATATATATATATATATAATTGACTATAGGTACTTTGTACTTCATAAAAATAAAAGAATTTAAATATGTTCTATTAATATTAATTAAAATAATGTTTATCATGAATATTAATTATCACATAAAATAAAAAAATATATATTCTTCTATTTATTGTCAAACATTTTAAGGGATGTGTTATCATTTTAATTTTAAATGAGATTTTAAATTAATATATTCAAAATTGATTTTGAGTGGAACTCATTAACGGTTTGATGAATAAATCATATTATTTTATGTTAAATATTTTGAACATTTTTTTTATAACAATTTTTACCAAACATTTTTATGATTTACTAAGATATCTACAATATTTAAATTTATCTATTTTTACTTTTATAAATATATTATTTATTTTTACTTATAATTTGGTTATTTAAAGAATATAAGGGCATTACATTTTTGAAGAAAACAATTTTTTTCATCGCAATATTCATAAGTTATATAATTTAAATAAGTATTTAAAAATATGTCATAATAATTTTAAATTGTTTTTTATATAAATTCAACGTATAAATGGATAAAATCATTGATTACATGGCACTGAAATGCTATTTAATAGATCTTGATTCAAGGAGTTTCTCGAGTTTCTTAATTATTTTTAATTTTGAAAAAAAAAACGTTTTGCTCCTGCTACAGTTATGGGTAAAGTTATAAATATTACCCATGCGCTTAAAATATATGTATACATAGTGTCTTTCTCCAAGACTAATTGTTATGAATTGATCAACCATGTATTTAAACTTGTTATTTATTTAATAATATATAAATTTCTTTATGACTATAATAACTTTTTTGAAGAAACGAAATGTCCCAATAAAAATAATAATATTTTAGGCAAAGGAAAACACTTTTCTGCGCAAAAGTGTACCTTCTACAAAACGAACGTTTCCAATTGTTTTAAAATATATAAACTTTATATTTTCAGTGGTTACTGTAATCCTTGATTATTGCAATATCCATGTATTATCATATGAAATTTAATGGTAACATTAAAAATGATTGTACTAGTCCAACCATGTATGATGTTTCCTTTTTGGGTGTTTTATATTGTTTATGGTCAAAGAAGGACAATGCAGGCGATGAAACCTTTTTGATTTTAATTTCAGACTTTTAATAATGAAATATGGTTATAGCGAATAATATATATTTTCCGGCTTAGACCCTAACCCGCAGATATGCAATAAAATGTGTCAATATTATTAAATATTATTAGAATATAGAATAAAATATAGTTTTGGTTGTAATAAAATTCAACAATGTGTGTTATTACAGAATGAAAATTTGTCAGTCCATTAAATATGAAAAATTAAAAAATGTAAATAATAAAGTGTGGGGAGCCATAGCTATATTTGACTACGAGTTATAAATCATTTTCATTAGTGGAATGATTCGTTTAAAACTTTCAAAAAGTTTGTAATAGTGTTTTGTATTTACCTTAATATAATAGTTCTGTTGTAAAGTTATATAAAAATTATATTATAAATATATCATTCGTTATGACTAAAATCAACCGATCAAAAATACAATTACATTTTATTTGAATGACCACTTAAGTTTGGTATGATTATAAAAAATTATAAAAATTGAAAAAAATTTAATCAAAAATTATTTAAATAAATAAAAAGTGTGTACATAGAAATAAATAATATTTATAAATAAATGTATAATATTTATTAAATAATTACTTTATAATTAATAATTAATGAAAAATTAATAAATAAAACTTACCAATTTGAGTTGTGTATTTATTTTTTCATATTCAGTCGCAATTTTATTAACTTTTTATTCATATATTAGTTTATGAGCATTAACCATTTTTTTAATTTTTATTTTATTTTTATTATTTTATTATTAATTAGAGAGTATTAAGCAGATTTCAAAAGAAAAAAGACATTATTGAATTATATATCTAATAATTTGAGTATCCTAAAAATATTTACTAATTTAATAGCAATAATATGCCATTAAAAAGCATTTAAAAAAATATTAATTTCACTGTTTTTAATTAATAAATGCTATAGTTCTTAGAGTTATAAACAGTACAATATTCTCGTGTTAAAAAATTTACAAAGTTTTAAAATTTTTAAAATATTATTTTAACATTATTAATATTATTAAAATATAATAAAAATAATTAATAATTTTTAAATAAGTCTTTAATTTCTATATAAAATTCAAAAATGAGCGAAATTCCTCTGTTGAGTGGTTATATCATAGAGATCAGGGAACGATATTGCTATATTGGTCTTTTAAATTTGAAACCAATGTACCATTGCTCTTGGGATCATGATTTCAGTAAAAAAAAAATCAGGTGGATCAGTTTATATTTTTAAAGATGGTTGAAATAATAGTACAATCAAATTTTTTAATAAGATAGGTTAAACATTTAATGTTCTAACTATGACGAAAAAAAGTATTTAATACTTGGGAATATAAAAATTTGAAGTGCCTATTCGTCTATATAACCATTTCTAAGTATCAACTAGAACTCATTTCTATATTTACTTTGTAGTTGTAATTATTGGAAAAATCCTTCTGGTCAAAATTGTGTACATAGACAAAGAAAAAAAAACACCCATACATCGTGGTAAAACCAATACATTCTTCGTTTAATTCAGAATCTAATAAATTATCAGTATCTAGATAGAAAAAAAACTAGCTACATTAAAAATTAATAAATGTTGTTACCTCTTATATAAAACGGTAGTAGCCTAGTTTCTAGTCATTAAATATTGTGGAAATTTAAAAGCCTTTTGAAAACTCTAGTCTACTTTCTGACATTTTTATACCATTAAAAACCCTTGAGGCTAGTTCACCCTGACATTTATTGTAGTTTTTTGATTAAATTATGAGATTTTTCAAGTTATTTTAAAATTATAATTTATGTATTAAACATAAAGTTCTTCTACGATTAGCCAAATCATATAGAACATATTATGTATGATTTATCTGCAAGTATAACTACTACTTTTAATATATATATCGATATTATACTGAAAGGATTTAAAATTTTATTAATGGTAGGTAATAAAATTAACAAAATGTTTCCATACGAATCGTCTGAAAGAATCGGTACGTCATATCAGTATTATAATATTATTTATGTATATATATATATATATATTTCAGTTAAAAAAAATTGGTGGTTATTTCGGGACTAATGTGCTGATATTTTTAAGAATCGAATAATTTTGAAAATTTCGAAAGACCACTTATGGAACGAAAGTGTTTCAAATTATATGTTTTACTATCTTATTTAAAATGTTTGATGTAAAATGGTTAAAATGATTTGAAGAAATAAATTACGCATAGCATTTTGTTGACTTAATGTACTCGTACTTGGGTAAAATGTTAAAATGCTACGAGGGCGTAGGGTATGAGAATCATGACTAGCATAAACGTTCAACTTGAAATTAACAAGATGAAAAGCTATTAAACTCTCTGTATAGAGCGTTCACAATCGTATGATTGGTCCCTGGATATACGAAGAATTTGAACGGGAAAACAAAAACAAACAGCTGCAAAATGAAGTAATAAAAGTTGGTTTACTATCACGGTATTCAAACCATACCTAACAAGTGCTCAGTATTTACCAGTGCAACGACAAGGATCGTATAAAATGTACAAATACGAAAGCTTTATGTTTCAAAACTTGTTAATATAACATGAACGTGTATAACAAAT